CTTACCCCATGTAGAATCAATACTGTGAATATTGTCAGAAGGGTGATAGGCACTTTAAACAATATCCTCGGACAAGATCACAGTTCGATATCATCCCATATAAAGTTACAATAAGAATTACAGTTTAAAATCCTTTGTCAGGATATATTCTGATAGATCTTATAAACCGAAGTTGAAGATAAGGAGGGGCCAAAGAATCAAAGATACTTTAAAACCAAAGCGAACAGTAACAACTCGATCGTTATCAMGAGGTTTATCCATAACGAGTAATAGTTCGGATAAAATCTGCTTGAAATATACTTTACGGTTTCAATAAATCTTTTCATAGACATTTTTTCCATTACAGACCACGTGTCATTCTCTTAAGTACAAGATTCTTTGTTTGAGTTGTATCTATTTGATTGTCTCTTCACTTTCCCAACCGTGAGAKAAAGAAATGATACTRTATGCAATGACATGTGKTCTGAAATTGGAAAACAGTGGATTAGGCCTATTGTAGAACTAACTTTGAACTGACCGACTTTCAATGACTAGAAATACTTTTTAACTCTCTCCTGAGAGTTTTGCTTGGAGTTTTTTTCTCCCGGGATAGATTCTCTGATTTTGTTCCTTCCGTAAATATCTGCTTTTCTAAATTTGATTACATCAAGGTACGCAGAGCTCCACAGGGCTGTTGTACTCGATACAAATTGCAGTTTCTTATACATCGTTCATATTTAGGAGTGTAGCACTTTATATATACCCGAGATCTAAATACCTGTGGCCTTTGTTCTATCATCGAGTTAAAACTTGCTGTTGTTGTGTTTCTAGTTTTGATGTTTGTTTGTTTATTTGTTGGTTTGTTGGTTTTGTTTGTTTGTTTTTTGTTGGTTTTTTTGTTTTGTTTTGTTTTGTTTTTGTTTTTTTACTCTTTACTTTCTTGATTATGGTTTTGTTTATGATTTTTCGATTTGTTTGCTGTTTTTTTCCTCCTTTGTTGTTATTTGTCGTTGTATTGTTTTTTTGTTTTTTTTGTTTGTTTTTTTTCAAAGGGAGGGGAATCTGTAACGTTCCGGGCCATACTCTTTCCATAATTTTTTTAGTGTCAATATAAGTATACAAATCGATCTTACCAGGGGTTTAAACTCAGTTTATTTTACGACTACTGCTTATAAAACTTTAGATCCACATTCAATAGCCAGGGTATACAAGACTATCTGGTAACGTTTACATTTGACTGGGACGCTTAGGCCCCGTCCACACGTATCCGGAAATTTTTGTATCCGCAAAAATGTTTTTGCGGATACGAAAATGTTTACGTCCACACGCAACGTATTCGAATCGTTTTCACCGTCCACATGTGTCCGTTTTCGTAGAATTTGCGGATACGGTCACAAAAATTGAGGACACGTGTGGACGCAACCCGTATCCGTAAAAAAAATTGCGGATACGCAAATTTCCGGATACGTGTGGACGGGGCATTAGGCTCAGGTMAATCTTCGAACTTCACATGGCGGCCTTATTTGATGTTATTAGGGTCGGCTCATATGAAGTTCGACCTTTGACCTTAGTCTTATTGACCCAATCTTAGTAAACTCTATCGCTTGTGTATTAAAGTCTTCGCCTGCGTTGCTTTGCGCTCTGCGGTTGTTACAATGAAAATAACATCCATTGACTATACACGAAGTAAGCAAGCTTAGATAATTCAAGTCCACCACATTTATCTATATTTACAAGTACAGCTATGTTTTTAATTATAATATTTGTTATATATTTTCTTTCATCTTGTAGGGATATCTTTGACTTCATCTAGGTGGTCCATATATGAGGCTCTGTTGATCATTATGGAGAAAAATACATTAAATTTATTTTTACAAAAAAATATATATATWTTTTAGGTCACTACCAAGGAGACAGCCTACTTTTGAACGTTTGCTTTGAGCACGATGGTCAAAGTTTTATTGAGGATAGTCATGTACACGTTTTGAATTTCAAAAATTCAAAACCCTCGAATCGATAAGCTTGTACGGGAATCTATTCTTTTTTATGAGATRAGTTCAAAAACCTGAAAAATATCTACGTTATATTAAATTTAGAATAAATATTTTACTTTTTTTTTTTTGACACGTCCGCGGTGTGGCGTAAATCTTGCTTCCAAAACTTGCTCGCAGGGCATTCATTAATGCTCTGATTATCTCGGAAATAAGCTCAAGACACCCCAGCTTTGAATTTCGTTTAAAAAATCCTACTCTAAAAATAATAAAAGATTCCCCAAAAAGTAGCCAGTATCGTTAATCTAATATATCAAATATTAAGGTTTTGGTCAAACGTCGAGTCGTACGCATTGAAAACAATTTTTCGTCATTAGGTTATGGTTGATGTACTGTGAGGATCAGCTCAATTTGGTACATAAGGTTATGCTCGTGTGAAGTTCGACGTTTGACCTTAGTTTAATATATATTTTTTAATTTTAAATAATGTATAATTACTATTGATGTATTGAACATATATAAGCATTTTAAAATGCTATTATAAGAAAAAATWTCAGCTTCCAGCAAACCTCCCGAACACTCCGCAACAGACCCCTTCACGGTTCCCTGCGCCATCTTGAAAGGTAGCCGGGCCTTAATTTTGCATCGAAGCGAGACGAACAGTGAGCTTGCAATGATAGGGACCTGTCAATAATTGTCCAAGGTGTTAAAAAAAGGTCTCTATCATTGCAAGGTCACCGTTCGTCTCGCTTCGATGCAAAGGCAMGGCTACCTTTCAAGATGGTGAAGGGGACTATTACTTTCCACTTCAAATGTTCGTGGCACTGCAGGTGCGAGAGATTTTAAAAGCTTTAGGCACGGTCTGCAGCTGGCTAATAACTCCCCTRATGCCTTCGGGTCTCCATGCATAATCAGTTGGTTCATGAAGGGTTAATCGGATATTCATATGGATCTCAACTCCAGGATGCGTTCTTCCGATGATGTGATAATCCGAGGGTAAATAATAATTACAAGACGGACTGCCCGTATGAAAGTAGACGGATACTATATGCATTGATATATGAACTAAACTACTTATCTAATTACCTGCTATAAACACGTCTAGCGACCAAAGCCTGGAGGAAAAGGGAATGGAGGGAAAGTTGGAGGAGGTCTTGGCTTTTGTACGGGAACTRCGGAAGAATGATAAAGAAAACAAATGGTTGTTTGAAAGCATTATAAAATATTGCCTGTCATGATGGATAATACATATCTCTTTCCACCCCCTCACAAGCACTGCTCC